GATATTTTAAAGGACTTACAAGAGCTTAGAGTTTACTTTTAAAAGAGCGGACGGATATCTATATATTTACTGAATCACTTCAGTATCTCTCTAACCTAAATACTATTAAGCTCTCCTTCTATAGAGTAAAGGAAGATCAGCTTCTTTGGTTCTCTAATCGAGTGTTTCTTAGGGACTCACTTTTCGTTCACCTTAAGGCGGTACTTAGGGGTATAGCTATTGCTTAGTCTATAGGATTAACCTTAAAATATATAGAGATTAATAGGATATATTCTAAACTAGCTACTAAAGATAATAATATCCTGGAAATTGTAAAGGCTGCTTTAGTAAAAGTTAAGAGCTTGACGCTGATAGAAAGCCCGGGGTTTCTAGGGTTTATATCCTCTATCCCTTTACCTTCCTTACGACGGCTTGAATTAGCAAAGTGTTAGCTTATAGGTTTTGACTTAAGAAAGTTCCTAAAAGCCTAAGATAGGAGAGTGCTATATATATATTTCAAAGATAGAAATCAATTGTATCATGAAATATAGAATACAGATGGCGAGTCTAAGCTCAAAACTTTGTCTGAGTCCTTTATATACTCTAGGAATATTGGTCTATAAGAATATCTTGTACTTATAGGAGATCGTATATGATCGCACAATTTCAATAAGTCTTTTACACACTCTCTAGAAGAATGTTCACGAATAATCCCTAAGAAGTTAGAATAGCTATATTGCGTCCCGAAACTAGTGTCACTACCTACACTCTTCGTTGGTTCTCGGACTCTAACGCCAAGATATACTATTGGTATATAGTGATAGTGTATAAGTTTAAACACCCTAATACTACCTACCTTAACCTTACCCAATTAAATATTTAAAAGGTTGATCGGTATGATTGTTTAAGGGCTGTTTGGTTAGGCGGTGTGTTTCTCTTGGAAGGCAGTAACCAAAGGGGTGCTTAAATTATATATCGTCACTATAGTTCCGGAATATCACTTTATATATTATTACTATATAGTGTAAACGTTATCGAAGGTTTTATAGAAGTAAATAAGTTAAATATAAGCTAGGGCCTTAAGGATTCGGTAACGTATCACTTTATCTATATACTTGGGTTAAAACTAAATATATACCTCCTAAGACTATAGCACCTAAAACGGGTCGTAGAGGAAGTAGCAATATATAAAGCAGCTAAGCCGTTCTATTATTGATACCTGATTTTGACCGAGATAGATAAACAAATTCAACTTCTAGGTAATAAAAAGCGGGCTATTTAGCGATTAACTTATAGGACACAACTCGCTTAGTATATATATAAGCTCTATAGATTTTTTAAAATTAAACCTACTGATATCTCTAACTAGTTAAGAGGCTTAAACTTAAAGTAGACCCTTCCGAGGTCTGATTGAAGACAGAGGACGAATATCTCTATATATAGTAGATAGATGATCTATCGCTTAAGCCTCTTTTTTAGAAGTATATAAGTAAACACTTAGTGGGGGCCTATATATAGCTTCACCGCGAGGTAGGTTAAATATTTTGTGTAGTCCTTGCAAAGGTAAACCTAATAACCCTTTAGGATAATTTATTTAACTTAAAAGGGTTCTTATAGCGCGAAAAGCAAACGGACCTTAAAAATGTTGCTCGTATACAATTCGAAAACCTTAGTCTCGTGGAGAAACTTAGTACGGCCGAAGACAAAGTATCTCGCTTTGAGGAGGTAGTAAAATAAGCGGAAGCCGAGATACAAAATCAGAATTCAATTATTCAGGAAGCGTAAATAACTATTTATCTTCACTAGTAGGACATTTTGAACTAGATGGCCGTTGCCGAGTGGTATTAGACCAAATATTTGTAGTGCTCGAGTATATTAGGGCAAATAATAGCTTTCTTATAGGACACTATATCTAAACTTAAGTGAGAATTAGTATAGTAATATTCGAAATCATTTTTATTTCCAGTCTTTCTCTCTCTCTTTACTCCCTAGGTCCTACCTAAATCACACTAGTCAGAATAGGGATATATTTCCGCTAGACTTGTATTTGTCTATGTATAGAGCTTGTCTATCTTACCTTATTAGTCACCTATCTATATACCGCTAATATTACCACAATTGATTTTTTACTAGTAACTTAACTAGGCTTAACTAGAGATAGAATTAATTATGGGCTTGCTCCTATATTATCGTCCTTAACCTGCGGTATGGTTTCTGGCCTATAGTATCGTTTCTGGCCTATAGCATCGTTTCTGACCTGTAGTATAGTTTTTGCAATCTATATAACTACCGCCGCGAGCTTAAAATATAAATTGTACCTTCTTTCTCTAAATTCAGGGAAGTTAACTAGGCTTCAAGAATCAATATAGCTAAAAAGTCGAGAAAGAAGGCCTAAAAGGCGCGAAATGCCCGTGATATCTAAACACCCGCACCTATAGAAGTAAGCTTAGACTCCGAATCCTATTAACCTAAATCCTCGAGAGCACAAGAATTAAGGTAAGAGTATAGTCAAAATAAGAAGGGTAAAGCTCCCGAACAGAAGGCGAGATTTATTAGAAGCCTAATACTCCTAGATAACTTTGCCCTAAATATAGGTGACCACAAATTAAATAACGAAACGGATAGCGAACTCGGGAATACTTCTGATCAAGATGCTCTAATTGAGTATAAGCTAGACCCACTAAGGCGCTAGGTCAAAAATGTTATTCTTAACGAGACACTTAGATATTCGGAAAAAATGGTTGAGGATTTCTTTATATCCTAGACCCCTGATTACGAAGGATATCTATAATTCTTTCAAAAACTTAACTAATATATTCGAGGGGCCAACAAAGAACACAACGCCTACGATATTGATATAGGTACTATACCCAAGACTAGCTATAATTCTTTATATAAGACCTAGTAGTAAGTAGTAAATAAGGTAATAGAGATACGCTCCCTAGATGAATTCTAGGCGGCTTATAATATAACACGTGGTCTTCTAAAGATCTTTAATAAGCGGTATTATCTTCCTAGGTCCTGGAATATTAGTCAAAAGTGGGCCGAACAATTGATCGGGACACGAAATCCTAGTATTAAAGAAGATACTAACTCCGACTCCACTTCCGATAGTAGCGAGAGTTAGCCCGACTAGACTCGCTAGCCCTTAGCTAGTGAAGAGTCTAGTGCCGAATCGGATATTGATATCGACGGTAATTAGCCTATAGGACTTAATACCCTAGAAGCGAGAACTATAAAATAGTAACGCTAATTACACTCGGCTAAAGTATTGTATTAGTGGCCTAAAGGCACCGGCTCTTAGATCTTTATACGCTACGGAAGCCGGTCTACGCCGATCTATTGTATTTGGGCTGGATTATATAAGAGCTATAACCTAAGTCGGGTTAAATATGTTTTGACCACGAAGACTCGCGGTACCGCTAAAGTAATTAGAACTAGGAACGGGCTTCCTAAGGAGTTTTGGAAATACTAGCGAAAGGATATAGAGGACTTTATTGGTATCGGTTGGAAGGTCGAAGACGATGATAAGTAGGGGCTTAATCCTCTTAATCTACTGCTGCCCGCTAAAGGTATAGTATATCCACAAACTCGGATACTTATTAAATAGAAAGACGGTCTATTTACTTTAGAAGGGCGGGCTTTTATCCGTTATATTATAGCCGGCTCTTCCTTAGATAGTGATAGAGTGATCTATCAGAAAGCCGAGGAGCTTGAGAGTCCTTATCGCAGAAAGTATGGGTTAGACGATATTGATGAAGATTATAATAGTGAAGTTAGCGAGCCTGTACGTAACACGAACCAACGTAGATCAAAGACGAGGAATCACTTTGAGGCCAGTGAAAGTAACGACGATAGGAGCGACGCCTCTATTCAGTCAAGCTATAACCGTAGCAGAAGATACCGTAGTGATCTAGCTCGTGGCCTAACGTCGTCTATATAGAGGCGAAGATCAACTCATAAGATAAGAACGGACTCGGCGACAGAGATAAAAGAACTTAAGTGTCAGATTCGGCTACTGAAGATACGTAGCCCGATGCCCCCTTAAGAGGCGCAAGATTGGTAGCGGAGACAACGCCGAGGTGACTGTGGGCGCGTAGTAGGATAAGGACTTGTGATTTTATATATTCCTTTAGTCTTACTATAAGCCGGTGTCAAACTAAATTTTTGTTTGCCTACTGTTTCTGATAAGCTAGCCTTATATATTGCTTTTAGTCTTATTTATAGTTTAGTTTAGCTTAGAAATTGTTAGATTTGCCTTATTTTCTAAACAATTGTATCTTCCCACAGCACTCTTCTATCTATTATACTTATACTTTAACCACTATGGGCTTCCTTATGATCTTTGACTAGCAATTTCTGTATTTTATTTACGACTAATGAGAAAGACCAGAAAGGTATTCTGATACGTTAGTAAATATATATATCTAGAAGTTAGGCTGTGTTTTCTGTTCGAACTATCTTATTCCAATCACGAATCTATTTAAACACACGACTCTATTCATCCCTATATCTACTTTCTTGGAAATGGCTACAAAGAGGCTTTGGTTTCTAACAGCCAAACAAGTCGAGGTACTACTTGTTATTCCGCATTCTGCTCCGGTCTAGCTAAGTATGCTAGAGTCTGTAATCTATTCGCCGATAAACACTTTATATCCGAAGTGCTATCCTGGTTTATATATTTAAGGATTATATTTCGATGACTAATACTCGCCCTAGGCACCCTATATTCGCGGAGAGTTATTTCGGTGCTATTTCTCTTATTCTAGGTTCTTTTACTATAGGTGGGCCCGATCCTTATAGGAACTCTCGAGTTAGATTCGCTAGGCGGTCCTAAACGTTGAAGGTCCGAATCTTGCCACTGAGGTAGAGTCTCTACCTATCAAGTCTGGCGACTGTCCTTTAATGATGCGACACAATATCTATCAAGGTCCTATAGTTATCTAAGCAAAGAATAGTACATTGCTTTTGTGAATATAAGTTAAGCCCTTATTAAAATAATCTTATGTGAGCCGATTTAAATGTCGCAGGGTTTCTTAAGGAGAAGATTTTACCCTCTTAGTGATATCTTATCTATTTCACAAAAGGGAACATGGCAATCCAACCCCCTACCTATCCAGAATCTTAAGCTAGTGCTTCAACTTACGAGTCCTTCGAATCTAGTTACGTACGGATAGTGATAGAAGTAGATAGAACTCCCTGGCAATATAATATTCTTGCTAGTATAGCCCACTGGATACTTCTTGCTGGATATCTAGTAATACCTAGAACGTTCATATCTCTACAAAAGTCTAACGCTATCCAAGATGGTCTCGCCGAAAATGAAGTAGGGAAGTGGATTTTGAATACTATCCAAAATCCTCCGCTTCTCGCAACAGTATACGTACTATTTGTCTCGGGCTTGGCGATCATGAGTTGGCTGTTCTGGGAATATCGGGATAATTATATTTAGCTTATTAATCGAATCTTTGTGTGAGTATAACGAATTCATTATTCAAGATTTTCTCTAATTTATTAGTCCCGCGCTACTTAATATATTAGCTGGTCTCCTTACCACGGTTATTAGCCTATACACTACTTATAATAGCGATTAGTCTATTATGGTACTTTTGACTATGGTGATATCTGGCCTCTCTGTTGCCTATTCACTTATTTTGCTGTATACGTATAAGTTTGGTAAATTATAGAAGCTAAAAGAAGAATATAATCGGATATTCTATAACTAAAATCCTCCTCGAAATCGACTTGGCTAATACACACTCAATCACTCCGCCCCGCGGCTAAGGCCCTACCGCCGGAAATAATCAGCTATTATCTATATTATGGACTTATTTGTAGATAGTGAGAGTTTTGTTTATAGGTTAGTAGCTTGAAATTTTTATTATTAGGGTGAATCCTGGCTACTCTATATATTGGCTAGATATCAAATGTGAGATTTAACCTAGCGATGATCTGCTATAAGATATATAATATATCTTTTCCTTTTTTGGGGTTAGGGTATAAACTCAAAATTCAAAATAAATATAGATCGATTGTATGTTAATCTACTAGCTCCGCTCTATAAGCCTACGCAACCCTAACTATTCCTAGCTAGATATTGAGATTAGCGCGAGGATGGTATTTTTCACTATCACACAGAGATACTGTACTTATATAGAAAAGTAGAAGCGGCTTACCTAGTACGTGTTAGCTGAACTACACATAAAAAATAAGTCTATCAAAAGTCCATTAAACCTTTAGTGTATCAAGCGAAAGGATATACAGAATCTCCTAGAAATATGATATATAACGTTCGCAGGATCGGCAGACGATGGTATGCTATTGTGTCCTGGATTTCATAGGAATTAGACTGGCCGCTTACTGGGATCCTCCTTATTCTAGAAACGGGATGTATATAAGTATTGGAAGCCCTTATATGTCTAGATCAGGCTATAAGCTAAAAATTAAACAAGTAATCTATAAGATAGCGCTAGTACCTGAGCTTATAGTGCGACTCCTAGAGTTTCTAACCTAAGCACTATACCGCTATAGAGTCTAAGTATATGATGGTCTATATAGTCGTTCTCGAAATCGGCTTGATAGATACACTCTTCGTCACTCTCTCTGGACCTACCGCTAAGGCCTTAGCGTAGATCAATCATTAAGCGGGCTGTATGACCGTAAGATACCCTAAGTATAGTATTATATTTTCTCGTAAGATTACACAATGCGTACGAGAATTTAGTGGAATTCTATGGAAGCCGATGTGAGTAGATAGGGCTTACTCTTGTAGCAATAGTATTATATAGACTATAGATAACGAGGGTATATTTATTGCTATATTAGTCTATCCAGCGCGTTTCGTCTTATGTCCTTATAAATATTACCCACGGATAACTAATATTAACACCTAGCCTTATAACGATATCTAGCTACACTAAGTCTAGGGTGCTATTGTGTCGAAAATTAGGTAAAATTTCTATGGCTATAATTAGATAGATTAATACAAGCTATATCACCGAAAATATAAAACCTTAGGCTTAAATTCAGACTTGATATTAACCTAGATAATATTAGAATGCTGCGTAGGGAAGTCTTCTGTGGTTACTACACGTAGCAATTTCTTGACTAAGTAGCCTTTGTGGTAAAAGCTAGTTAGTCACCTAGATTAGCGACTAGGTTAGTTACTACTAGAACTTTATAGAATATTCCGTAAGTAGGATAGGGCCGTATAAGTTATACGCTTCTCCTAGGCCCTTCTTTTATAAAGGGATTAGAAGATAGAGGAAGAGGGGAAACAAAAATCATTAAGTACTATATACAAAACCTAACAAAGGAAACCCGCCCTGATAAGTGTCCTAGGGCAAGTATATTACCGTTTATCTTGAAATAGCTAGGCCGAGCCTCGATCGGAAGCCATAGGACCCTTCTACTATTCAATACTATCTATTAGCGGTGCTTAATAGAGATATCTAGAGTTATATAACGTGGATTAGATATAGGAATACTATACCTAGATTGGATATAAAGGGCGCCGAAGTTGGTATAGAGATATAAACCACTATAGGAAAATTTAAGTGTAGTGACTACCCCTTTAACTTCGAAGGTCTAGGTAAGCGTACCCGTCGCCGGGTCCTAGAGCCGCACTGTCCGATCACTAGAGCCGGACGCCAGTAGGTGGCTGTCGGGCGAGAAGGCCACCGATCGAACCGGACCGGAATAGCCTTCGAGGGTCTAGGTGAGCGCGCCCGTCGCCGGGTCCTAGAGCTACACTGTCTGATCGTTAGAGCCGGACGCTAGTAGGCGGCTGTCGGGCGAGAAGGCCACCGAAGTAACCTAATCGGAATGACCTTCGAGGGTCTAAGTGAGCGCGCCCGTCGCCGGGTCCTAGAGCCGCACTATCTGATCACTAGAGCCGGACGCTAGCAGGCGGCCGTCGGGCGAGAAGGCCACCGATTAAACCGGACCAGAATAGCCTTCGAGGGTCTAGGTGAGCGCGCCTATCGCTAGGTCCTAGAGCCGCACTGTCTGATCACCAGAGCCGGATACTAGTAGGTGGCCGTCGGGCGAGAAGGCCACCGATCTAACCGGACCGGAATAGCCTTCGAGGGTCTAAGTGAGCGCGCCCATCGCCGGGTCCTAGAGCCGCACTATCTGATTGTCAGAGCCGGACGCTAGTAGGTGGCTGTCGGGCGAGAAGGCCACCGATCGAACCGGACCGGAATGGCCTTCGAGGGTCTAGGTAAGCGCGCCTATCGCTGGGTCCTAGAGCCGCACTATCTAATCACTAGAGCCGGACGCCAGTAGGTAGCCGTCGGGCGAGAAGGCCACCGAAGCAACCTAATTAGAATGGCCTTCGAGGGTCTAAGTAAGCGCGCCCGTCGCCGGGTCCTAGAGCTGCACTATCTGATCGTTAGAGCCGGATACTAGTAGGCGGCTGTTAGGCGAGAAGGCCACCGAAGCAACCAAATTAGAATGGCCTTCGAGGGTCTAGGTAAGTGCGCCTATCGCCGGGTCCTAGAGCCGCACTATCTGATCACTAGAGCCGGACGCCAGTAGGCGGCCGTTGGGTAAGAAGGCCACCGAAGTAACTAGACCGGAATGGCCTTCGAGGGTCTAGGTAAGCGCGCCCATCGCTGGGTCCCAGAGCCGCACTATCTGATCGTCAGAGCCGGACGCTAGTAGGCGGCTATCGGGCGAGAAGGCCACCGAAGTAACTAAATTAGAATGGCCTTCGAGGGTCTAGGTAAGCGCGCCTATCGCTAGGTCCTAGAGCCGCACTGTCTGATCATTAGAGCCGGACGCTAGTAGGCGGCCGTCGGGCGAGAAGGCCACCGAAGCAACCTAATCGGAATGGCCTTCGAGGGTCTAAGTGAGCGCGCTCTATCCTTCCTCAACTTATAGTAACTAATATATCTAAGTAGGAAGCGACCGCTTGAACTCTCTACGGATTATCCCCGTTCGGGGTGTAAATATAAGTCCTATATAATAAACTTAAAGGGGGGCCTGATTAACTATCTAGTGATTTTTTAGGATAAAGCGCTTTATATCGTGAAGAAAATCCGAAATTAGGGAAGAGTCGTTACCCTAAAGCTATTAGTATATACTATATATGATTATCTTCGGAACTTACCGATATAGACGTTTGGAGGCGATCAAGAATACCTAATACTTCTGACATAAGGCCTAGTAGACTTATTGCTTCCACCTAGTGCAAAAAGTGTACCTAGAGAAATAAATAAGCATTGTGTATCATGCCAGACAAGTCTGTGTATTATAATAGATGATACGCCTAGTATCGACACGCGTATTTCAGTGGGGGAGGTATATAAAGCTAAATCGAATCATCGCTAATTTTATTCCTTTGCGTGCCTTCGCTTGGTAGTTTGTAGATATTTTTCTCTAGGCTGTCCTATATGATCTAACTATATCGTTCTATAAGATACTGGTTTATATATTTACCATTAATCTAGAATTTGCTTTTGTCTTTGTGGTGATCCAAAAGAAAATCTCGGAATAATAGATAGAGGAGCCTAACTAGTATATCGAAATTGTTTGGTACACTAAGCACCGAGTGGAGCTGGTCTAATCGACATTTAATATCATCTAACTCTCTGTCTATTAGGTGGCTAAGGGAGTTGATCGAGAGCGGAGTGGCAAGAATAATGATCACCCTAACTACCTCCTTAAACTCTTTAAGTAATTCCTGTGACTCTGTTTCATTCTATCTAGTGAGAAGTTGCTTTAGCACGGGAATATATATACTGTCCATCTTGGACATATAGGTTGATTGATCTATCAATATCGCTTCTAGTCGCTTTTAAGGGTTCTATTTTGTATTACCGATAAAACGATATATAGTAGTAGCTACAATGAATAAAGGGACGGCCCTATCAACCAATATCTTGGTAGCTAGGACTCTAGGCCAATCTGGTGGTAATAAGCGCCTCTGCTTTAGGCATAGGAACTAATCCTCAAAATATAAGGATATATTATACGCTATCACTGGCTCTTCAATCCTATATAGGACTAAATCCTGATAGGTATTAGTGATCCCTTTAAAGCCTAGCCTGATCGGTAACTTAGGTCTACTTATTAATAAAAACTATACTTGTATAGAAGTTGACTTTTGAACTCGAGGTAAGAGCCGGAGAATAATCCCTATATCGTCTTCTAAATCGTATTTATCTAGAGTATTAATCACGATCACTCTTCTTATAGTCTCTTCTCGCTACTTAATTCCAGATAGTGGATCTAGTAGAAGCCGTTTAAATTGTTCCCTTAACACTTTTTCCGAAATATTCGGGTTATCCTTAATTACCCTCTAAACTCGAGGTAGTATTTGAGGTATACCGATAACTAGTTACTCGGTCAATATTGGAAAAAGCTTTTTTGCTATTTCTCTATCCTCTTCGCCTCTCTTAAAGAAGAAGCTCGCCCTAAGAAGCTACTACGCTTAAAGACAGCTTACAACTATTTAGGATATTGTTAATTTCCCTATCCCTACTATACCGCTTAACCAAAATATACATTTTCCGTATAGCGATTTTGCCCACTCGTCGATTTCTCGAAGTAGGTCAATTCGGGTCCCCGGGAGACATTCACTATATTGGTTATCGTAAGAGTCAAATACTACTTGTTTTGTAGTCTATAGTCTGCTAAGGTCTATCTTTTTGTGGATCGAATTAGTAGATCTCCTGAGTTAGCGTCAGAGTTAGCCCTTAATATAAATAATTAAGAGACCGGATTATAGTCCGTAGCCTACGTTTAATCAATATACAAGGATAAAGTAAATATTGTTTTATACCACTTAAGCTCTATGATAGTAGAATCTACCTCCGACTATACGAGCGGCTATTTTAAGGCTCGAAGGCCCTATTTCCTTATCTATCTTTACGTCGTTTCCGGATTAATTTTCTCTTTCAAATATATAAGTACTAAGGAGCATTTAACAATATTGTCGACTAGGTCTTACGTAGTAGTAAGTTTATTACTATTAGATCCACAGATTAGCCTATCGAGAGATTGAAGCACTTAGGTAAGGGCGGTGATCTTCTCTTGGAAGCGCTAAATATCCTACGTCGCGTTCTTGACGTTATTAAGATATTTCCTATATATTTACACAATAGCTCCGGTTAATTGGATAACTACGATAACACTTACTATACCCAAAAGAGGTTCTATGGTAAAAGAGCCTTCTATAGTATAAATAATATCAAAAGTTTAAAGATACCGTAAGGGATGATAGATAAAATAGAGCTTATACCCCTCTTTGAGGGGAAGGCGTTAAGGTGAGGCTGAGAGCAAAACTAGACCCTGATTAGCGCTTACCCGATCCGATAAGCCACGTGCCTACTATAAGGGGCCGTTTATTTCTGCCTAAGAGGAAAACTATCTAACGATTAACTATACCCGGAATAACTTAGCTTAAAATAGCATTTAATAAAATATTACGAATAAAGGACACTTAAGAGAATTAAAAGATCGGTCGAGGGAGCTATAAGTGTGTATTAGGGCTAGGTATTAGTGTAAATTGCGATATATTGTCCTAGGGATCTAAGGTTATACCTTGTTGGACGTCACAATTATTATCGCTAAAGAGAGAACTTCGCCTTATATCTCTAAGCAAGCTATAGCGAAAGACTTATGGTAAGTGACTATTAGTTGCGGCCTACGCTATAGCTACTAAAAAGGTTGTTATTTGTCCGCGACAGGGTCCTGGTCGAGAGAATATATTGCCTACGATAATCGCTGAGATTCACTACGGCAAAGAAATACCTATTAAGATTAATTATTACAAAGTCCTATAATAGAATTCTATAGAATTCTTTCTATATCTCGTTAGCCTTTCGTAATTTATATACCAAAATATAGTACCATACTACGTACCTTTTTCGATGCCTATCAATTTAATAAGGCCCGCTTAATAATTAATCTGCGCTTAGGCCTTGGCGGTAGGGCTAGAAAAGAGTGACAAAGAGTGTATCTATTAAGCCGATTTCGAGAACGACTGTAGCACGACCCTATATATCTGTCTAGACAAAGCTAAATGATAGGGGGTAGGGATATAAGCTGACTTCGGAGCTTAGATTAAGATAGAATTTAGTCGAACCGTAATTCGAAAAATGTGTCGCGAAGTATATTGCAGAGCGTGTTGTAGAGTATGTCGTAGAGCGTGTCGTAGAGCGTGTCGTAAGTGTTTCGTGTGTGTTATCACGCTTTATATTATATTGTATTAATACGTAGTTTAAAATGGTTGCCTTTTGTGATAGCTTAAGGCTAGAGAAACTTATCTGTCTATTAGCCTTCGATGCTTATGAATCTCGGAAACATGACCTTCTCTATCTTCCTACTTCTCGCTAGTATCTATATACCCGCTACCCTAGGTGGTAGTCTTACGGTTATTAATCATGATCGCTAATGTGTGATATGGTCTGATGATAACTATGGCTATATAGGATATTTATCGTCCTTTGCCCTTCTTAATAGAGACGACTATTCTGGTGCGTAATGGCTCTACCGATATGTATGGTACTAGTACTGACGAAACCCTATAGATCTAAGCCTTCTTATATAGGGTATCCGTAAAAGCTACGCCAAGCTCGACGTGAGCGTATACGGTAGCACAAAAGATAGTATTATGCCTATTGTATAGATAAATATCGACAAAAATGGGAAGGTTAAATTCTATAACCAAAATAAAAACGAGATAGGGTGTATATTGGACAACGGATTTAAGGTTGGCAGCTTGTGTATTACTTCCGACCTATCTTTATTAGTAACTTTATCAGAATCTGCGCTTTTAACGTCGGTATCCTTATTATCATCTACCATAGTATTATTAAGCGAAATATCTAGCTATACTCAATCTAAATAAGATGATTATTAGGTAATTATATAAGTTGCCTTGTACCCTAAATATCATTTATAATATAACTCCTCCCACTCTTGGCCTAAATAATTACCCACCTTTTCTCCTACCTAGATTGAAGCGCGTTATCTAATCCTAGAGTATATAGCGGATTTATAGATCTCTTTGGATATGGTTTCGCCTATAGGGTTTTCTATATCACTAGCGTGAATACGAAAGAGACTTCCCTTACTCTTATATATTTGTAAATATAGTAGTCACGGTACTTCCACTACTCTTTAATTGTTTAAATAGGGGTAGTTCCTGGTATATGGAATAATATCCTAGTCTTTCCTTCTAACTAGATATAGATAAATCTATAAGATATTTAAAGATATATTTCTGAATTTATCAATTTCTTACTACAATACGCAATACCTAAGACTTTAGTAACTATATTCTTATAAGAATTTAAATACCAATTTCTAACGAAGGCAATCTGAATAGTGGCTACTTGTGGGCTTACAATTGGCTTATTGGTGATATATCCCTTATCTAATAACCCACCTAGGTCGAGTGTAAAATTTACTACGAGTAGCTAGATTATTGGTATGATCTACTTTATGGGTATATAATTTATGAGTTATACGCGAAATTGGTTAATCTAAATACGTGCCCTATTTTTAGATAGATATTTTCGGGGTATATCAAATGCTATCTATTTACGGGGTAATCTAGACTGGTCAAGATCAAAGTTAAGCTCTACGTACTTGGTCTAATATTCTTCGCCTATTAGAATAAAGCTGCCAAAGCGTTCTTTGTCTAAAACTTAGAGCACCATTAAAAGGAGAAGGAGGGTGGTAGATATAGATATCAAGGTTATTTCCAATTTTTTTTATTAAAGTAACTTGGTGGAATAGCACCGAATATACAACCTAGCCCTCTTTGTGAGACACTTTGTCCCTAGCACCTTAAACTTATATAAGTATTACAATATTATTTTACTAGATTTATGGGGAAAGTAAGAGATAACTCACGGCTTCTATAATATCTAGCACAAACTAGTAAAATAAAGTATATTGTAGTCGATATTAAAGATAGCTGAAAGCTTATTGTGTGCCTTAGGATCGGTAGTAGGTTTAGGAGGTATACCTAGATAGTCATGAGTCCTACCGCCGGTTTTGATCTACCCCTCGTAGACAGAACATCGCTGGGCTATATTAATTTAAAGTGGGATAAATAGTTTAATGGCGAGGATTGAGGTATCGATTGATTCTTAGGGTAGAGGGGAGTTGTGCGTTAAAAGATATGCCGGTGTACTCCTTTATATAGATAACTGGTAGGTTTGCCTAGGGTAACCGCTGGTTATATGGGAATCGTGAAGTTGGATGTGAGTAGATTACTATCGGGAAAACTAGCTGAACTGGGCGTTAAATCCTCTATTGTAGGCTTGGACTCTAGGTGGATAGGATGGACAGGGTGGATAGGATAGACAGGGTAGATAGGATAGATAGGATGGATAGGATGGATAGGGGGAGAATCAACTAGTCGTTTTTACTCCACACCGCTGACTCTTGGTATTCTAGCTAAGGCATCGCCAATATCTACTATTTCGATTCAAATCTTATTCGCTAAAAGGATTTTACAATATCTTACTTATATTTTAGATTCATAGTTAACCATATATTTTGCTTCCACGATGAACCTATATATAACGGACCTAGACAAAATTCCACCTTCTAATCTATATACAGACCTGCCGCTTTATGGTCGGTACTATCCTAAGCCAAATGACTTCTGTATTAACCGCTAGTATATTAATTCTTATTCTACTGAATCGATGTATTATTGGGTGTTAGTTCTTACACTCTATAACCAATCTATTATAATCTATCCGGCGGAGGATAGTGGTCGCGACGTGTTCGCCCTTGGTAGCATTATCGTTAAGTCGAGCTATATATATACCTAATAGGGCACGAAGTATACAGAGATCGACTACTCCTATGCTAATACCAATGAAATCGAGGTAATTAATATTGCAAAGATAGTCTTAAAAGACGTTAGAGTGCCTAAGATATACTTTATAGGGAAGGTACTATTCTTACCACGTGATTACGCTAATTTTGCTCACCCTTTTAGATAAATGGCCACTAGGTATTAGTCTAGGAAAGACTTCGGGGTATTGCGTTAGCTATCGCTTGGCCATATCTTTCGCGAGCCTAAAAGGGATCCTTCAAAGAGCAAGCACGCAATATACTTCGATAGCTAGACTCTATCAAGCCTACCGATGGATACTAGGCTCGCTCTTACGTAGTGCCTAATCCTAATATCTATACAAATGGCTGTATCTAACCCCTTGAACGCGAAATACTCTTCTCGGTCATTAATACCGATCTAGATATAAGCTTTATATATAACGATTTAACTGTATCTAACTGTATAGTTAATGATAATAAGATTGTAGGGCTTATTGATTGGGAAATAGCGGGCTTTTTTGGGTGGAAGACAGCTAGAGAAGTCTATCGTAAGCTAAGGCCACACGATACGTCTTTTTAGGAGGATCTCTATGAATAGGATAGGCTTATTTTTAGAGGATTAGAGCAAATTTAGGTAGGATACTAAGTATGTAGATAATATGGTGAATGTGTGAAAGCATTTTGAACCAAATAAGATCTAACCAACCATATTTAGTACCTTACGGTCACTAGCCCTTGCCATTTATTACAATCAAATAACAACAATCTAGATATAGATTTAATAGATAGAACACTATATATTAATTCTAACTGGATTTATAGCAACGATAAAGCCATTAAATTGATTTAATAAAAATAATTTGTCTATCTAGACACGTCTCTCTTATAGTATGCCCTAGCTACTAATATATTCCATATACTTACCCGGCCTATATAGATAGTTGTAAATCTAAAAAAGCCCGCTTACAATAGGTATTAACTCGCGCTATTTAGGATTAAGTTTAAGAGTTTTGAGAGCGAAGTTATAGTATAGTAGGTGGCTGAATTAAGTATTAAAGACGCGGTTTGGGTTGGGTGGCCTACTTTCTTATAAAATAACTAACTAGTTAACGTTAACCTTGGTTACACATTGATTATATAAGCTATATTATCCAGCCTGCTATCTTGTGTCTACCCTGCCTGTCTTGTGTCTACCCTGCCTGTCTTGTGTCCACCCTATCTATCCTGCGGTAAAATCGGGTACTAGCAACACTATGGCGTTAAAATCACCTAATTTCACTTTAATTTATAAGAAGTACGAAATAATTTGCAAAATAAAAACAATTATCTCTCGAGATATATAATTACTCGAAAAACGCTTATTAATAGTCTATATAGTCTTTAAGGTAGTAGTACCTAAACCCAGGGGAAGAGAAAACAAAGAGCTCTTAGCACAGTCTCGAGAGAGGAAGGCTTAAATAGTTTATTAGGAGGTTCTCGAGATATACCCTAATATTTTTATCGCTTTCCTTCTTATTGTCTCACCAAGATATACCATAGAGTTCGACCTTCCAACTTTCTACGAGTAGCACCGCGCGCGACCTATCGCTCTTTGTGAGGAGACTAAGTTGGGTCTTTTCTAAATTACCAAACGTCATGGTTTCGAAAGTTCCGATCCTTTTCGACTGTTAATAGGCCTAATGACCTACTGGCGTCGTCTATCGACAGAAGATGAAACGGAGGAACATTTTTCTCTTTCCTTAAGCGGCCTTCTAGCAATCCGTATCGCTTTTGGTGATATTATATGTAACACTATTGAAAATTCTCCCACTTATCTTCCAAAGAGTATAGACAGCGGTTATATAGAAACCACTGAATATATCAGATCAAAAATATTCTATAATCGTTAAGATATAGCCATTTCTTTAGATATAGGTTGTGTATTTAAGCTTACCGATATGCTTTTCCCTTTCGTAAGCTAAAAGATTCTTTCTGCTCTCTCTTAATCCTATTTAGAATATTAGGTGAGTAGCTTATAGGCTACCTTGTAACTATATACGTAGATATCCTTACTAGACTCGGATATTGGTATGAAAAATACGGTGCTATATATCGATAATGTTCACTAATTTGCCCTATAGATTTCGCTTACTTTACTTTGTGTGGTATGTCTGTCTATAGTATACAATCAGTATTTAGCGCTACTATATATAAAGGTATAGATAACAGCGAGTTACGAAGATAGGAAAAATATCACTATATTTCCGAAGTCATAGATTGCGTCACAATATATATATAGAGAGCACAACTATATCGTGGACTTATTAAATTGCGACTTAGACACTATATAGGGGTTAATTTAGTAAACAAGATATATATAGGACCCTCTTTAACAATTATTGAACCCTTAGTCTTGTTCAATATATCTTGACTTTCCCCCGGCAATCTAGACTCCAATATTACTTGGAAGGATAATTACGCCACTACCTTTTGTCTTAACAATTTTTTCACTAGCTTGTGTTTAGAACCTAATAAGGTTGTATTTCAAGCAATATAGGTTTCTTTTAAAATCCTGCGGTGTAATATCGGTGATAGGATATGATCGGTATTTATCGAGGGCCGCTGCCTCCTTATATAAAAAGCTTATTCCACTCGCTTTGTAATAGACAGTCGCTCTAAGATATATTAGATTATTACCTAATAGAGCGCTATAATTACCGATATACTAAGGATCTTGTAGAGGCAGAGTCCGCTATACTCGCTAGAATTCTTATAATATAGTTTCTCTTTACAGGATGCTTCGTAGCTTCGTGAACCGAGATTTTGAGTGACCCTAGGCGCTCTGTGATTTCGGTGGTTAAATATAAAAATGGTATAAAAGTAGTATTAAATGTTATAAGATTTAAATATAGACTAAGAATACTGGGAATTAGGCGCAATTTAGGATTTAGCTGAAAATTGCCTAACTACCCCTCCCTGAGTGTATATATTAAGCTACCTCGTGGCGCTGATAAAAGTAATACGTATATAACTAGGAACTCGCCCACCTATGGAGCGGAGTCTCGGGTATACCGCTGTAGTGACAATTGGGGATTCCGATTTTCCCTTTGGCCTAATAGTTAAATACTCCTATATAATCACTTAGGTGTAGCGGCCTAAGTAAACCTACCGGGACCGTAGGATTATATACCTAATTAATAATAAGTTTACCGTATCGCCGAATTAGTGAGGAGATATACGAGATTTGACTATTCAAGACGCCTATCTATTTCTCTATACTCTGTTACTATATTTACATATACTAATCCACCGGCTCGAAGAAGAAGATAAATCGACTAATGGTTGTCCGACCTATCTATTATAGCACTAGTATAAACCACAACTCTTATATAACTAATAGGCCGGGCATCTACTAGAACTTGATTTTGAATTATATTTACTATTTTTCTTTAATTCAAAGTTAAATCAGGAATAGGGGAGGGAAGGCAGTATAACTACTAATTAGCTAGCTATTATTTTGAAGGGTTATAAGATATCGGATGATTTATTATCCGAGCCGATAGATTATATACGTTAGAGCGATCGAGGCCATCGATCGTTTTCTATCCCTACCTCGCCTTCTAATGTCTAACGCTACTATATCTGGTCAATTCGACAATCACTAGTCGATTATTGACTTTTGCCGTTCTTGTCCAGAGGATCAGCTTATTAGAAGCTTAAGGTTTGGTAACCAGGTCTCCAAGCTACCAGATTGCGACTTAGTGGTCAAGTCCGGCCCGTTTGTTTCCTCCCATAAGACAAAGAATCAACAAAAAGTATACGGCAAGGTGTTCTATCCTATACAATAAAATTCATATTTAGGATAGTAGTATAAAATAGTGAATACCTAACTATAATATTTAAGCTACCTATTCTAGGTAATTGAACCGGTTTTATTTAAACACATAGTGTATTAACTTACCCTCACGAGTGCTTTGTCTAACTACTACCTAAACGGACTCTTATAGGGCTCTTCCGGCGGAGATCCTAATATCGAGACAGTAGGCTTACCGAACGAACCCGTATAGGACTCTTTAAGCTATTTCTTCTAGACACGGTATAAGAAACCAGCCACTTATATCAACTTCTTCTTTTGTCTCTCGTTTCGTAGTGCCCAAAATAGTTTGGCCGGATGCCTTAAAGCCCCCTTAGGTGGCTCCTAGGTAAACGCCCAGGAGTTCTTTTTGCCTTTACATTTATTATCTTTGTATACCGGTACTCGTAGACGAAGAGGAATGTAGAAGGTAAGCCGTTAAGGGACATAACAAAAATAAGAGTACTTATAGAAAACCGGGCTATATCGTTAGCTTATTTGTCCTAAAGAACGAAAGGGGTATCTATCTCTTCTATAGACAAAATAAAAAAGCCTATGGTGTTGGGGTGATATTAAATAATCTTGGGAAGTACGCTCGCTACTTATTCCTAGGGGAACACTAGATATTTAAGCTGCTCGGTCCTACCAAGTGTTATATATTACTGTTAAATCTCTCTATACATAAGATATTCTAGTAAAAGCCTTGCCGATTTGCCTGAAATAATTCTTGTTAAGCCTGATCCGTGTTTATAAATTGAATTCTAAAAAGTGGGTCTCATAATCGATCTAAGCTTCGGAGGATAGTACGAGTCCCGAATACATAGTTCTGTTTAAAGCCGACTAGCTACTTCGGGCAAGACTGCTATATAAGAGGCGTTTGACAATGAGCGAGAGAAGAAGGTCGTACTATACTATTTACAGAGTTACGATTATCATGGGGTTTTAAGTACTCTTATCTAGAGCAATATTTTAAAGTAGTAGGAATGCCCGGACGCTACACTACTATCTTCATGTATCACTTTAATACCTTGTGTCCACCATATAGACTACCAGCCTATCGTCGGTAATAGAGTGAAGATATTTAAGAATATAGGCGAGTTTTATAACCCAATATTATATAGCCCCAACCCTTATTGTCTATAAAAAAGTATGGACTATAACGATATCTGGATTAAGTATACCTCTATACGTCGCGAGAGATATCTAGTACAATACCTTAGAAAGTAGGTATATATAGATCTGTATAGGACAAAAAGGCTTATATATCTACCTTAGAACAATCTCTTCGGCCACGTCGAAAACTTCTTTAACTTTGTCCAACGTGTTACCAGCTTCTTACTCTACGTTATAAGGGCTAGCTATGATTTCTGGCGTACTAATACCGAGTCACCGCTATAATTGGAATGGTCCTGAGAAGCCTTATATTCCAGCATCTATCTTAGTTCTCTCTAGGCGTGGCCTTCCCCCACTAGTTCGCAGAAGGAGTAATAGACAAGGATAGTGTCGAAGAAGGTACCGACTCTGAGTCCGAAGAACCTCCACTCTAGGATAGGTTTTTAGCGAATAAGTTATAGTGATACGCGGAGGATTGTACTATTTGCCTAAATTGGTCTACTAATCGGGTAGGTGTGAAATATCGCGTCTAATCGTACGTTATCTAGCGGGTGAACTAATATGAGATATATGGTTAGTTTCGAATGTGCTAGTAGTAATAGGACGAATAGATAGTTACGATTCGCACCCTAAGCTAAAGATATCGATGTCTTCTAGTAATATCTGTCGAATACCCTTCTATTGATGGTCTGTTGTCTTCTGTTAGAGCCCCCTCGAAGAATTTTTCGGGGTAGTAAACCCGGCTCTATACCTATCCTCTAATCAAAAAGTCCTCTAGTAACTATTGTGTAGTTAAATTATCAAGAAGTGGAAATGATTTATCTTCGATCTTCGAAATGATTGTATCGGGATCGAATAAGCTATTTAGGTAAGTTATAAGTAACGACCACGGAACTAGCGGTTCTAGTCTTTGTATAGCCGCCGGGTTAAGCGTGAGACACTACACAAATGCTATAGAAATATATACGCTCGGATATATATTTGTGTCCCTAACTTAGCCTAGTATGATAATTAATGTATGAAAAGCGAGAGAGCTTGCCTAGAATAGAAGCTAAGATAAGAGGTCGCTGTATATGGAATGGCTAGCTATAGTAGATGTACCGGATACCTATTTTATTGCCGCTAGGCTATCTTCCGCTGTAGGATTGCGTAACTTTAATATGAAATCCGTTTCTATAACTCTATATTTACTTCTATATTGAAATATAGCGGAGATATTGTAAGATATAAAGAGAACACCTTGTTGCCTCTTCCTGCTTACTTGGCTAATCTCGTTGTGTAGAGTAGCAAGAAATATATTCGCCCGAGAAACAAACTTATCGACCGGAGCTTATATAAGAAGCGCAGCGTGAGTAGTCACAAAAGAAGTAGTTAAATCCCCCTTCTGGCTCTGTATATTTATTAGAGGAATTATCAGCTCGGTTATACTATCGAAAGCAATTAGGAATACGCGCACACTGATCAATGCTTTTGTGTAGTGAAAAAGCTGCTAAAGAATATCTAGGCGAGCTAAAATAGCAAGATAATACTAGATACGGCTATTTTCTTGGTTTCTGTCCTGGTTGTACCAATACCTTAATATCCCTGCCCAGAGTTTGTGGTCCTTCTTGTTAAATTCCTCTACGGCTATCCGGTACCGTGCTAGGTCGCCTAGATACTTAATCTAAGTATCTTTGAAATCCGGCACGTATTCTAGTAGTAGTACTATTATCGAGTACGAGAGATAGATAAAAACAAGTATATACTCTATCGAGCCGGGAAGCTTCTAGTGTAATAGCTCTAAGAATAAGTGCACACTATACCGCTATATACGCGCCGGTATAGCGTACTTATTGGCTAAGACTTTGAGAATAGGACTAGCTAATAGGTGTTAGGAGGCGAGGAAAAAATCATAGTGCTAGTAAAGTAGTGTTCGGTGTAGCGAGACAAGCGTTTACCACTGAGGCTGTGATAATTCGGCCTTTAATTGTGCTTATTGCCTATCGATCTTAATACACTTCTTTTCTACCAGAACGAGACTAGTATAAATTTCCTTCACTTTATTGATCAGTTACTCCTCGGTGATAGGGTGGGTCTGTAGTTACTTGATTATTCCCTGAGGTTCTCCCCTAGCGCCTGAGTAGGAGTAGTTTTAGTCTTCTATACTACTGTTTCCTATCTATTAATCGTGTTAGAGCTCGTTAACGTGACTAGAGAACGGCTAATTATCAGAGGTACCGTTGGAATTAGATAGGCTATATTAGAATAATACCGTTATGCCCTCTATTTAGATAGCGATTACTTTAAGGAAAGAAAGAGTTAGTAAATAGTTATATAAGTATTGAGTGTAAAATACCTAATAATTATAGTTAACTTAAATAAGGGGCCAAATTATGATTTAGCCTTATAAGTAGGCAAAAATTAAAAGTCTGGAAGAGGGATAAGTGGAAACGCTATTTATACTAGGGTTGAGTCTAAGGTACCTAAGAAACCCTGTCTTTAGACTAGAACTTTATGGGGTTTACTACTGATCTATTATATCGGGCTTGTTATCTCCTTCCTATTAGCTATTGAAGCAATACGCTCTATCTCTAAGCTAGATAATCGGAGGGCGATTCCACTCGAATATGATCTCTCTATGATTATACCGAAGAAATTATAGACTCGTGGAATCACCTTACTATCTTCTAAGACGAGGATATTTTATTAGGCGTCGAGATTCTAGGGGAGGAATAGCTATAGGGAACTTTTATTGTAGGATTCACTAGGAGTTTGATACTATAGGGGCTAATCTAGTGCAGAAAAGTAATATATTAGTATACTCCCTCCTAGTCAGTACGTTAATAGTAAACAAAATATATTCTTACTAATTATTAATTAGGGTGGGTATATGATAGCGAAGGGGAATAACTAGCACTTTCGGACTTATAGGTATATCTTTGGGTAGATTATATGGTGTATGAATTTAGGTGCTAGTTATATATAGTGTTGCTAGATATTCCTCTACTCTTGAAATTCCAGCCCTTACTACACTTTTTCTCTTATTAACACAAAATTATCTAGAGAAGTTTGATAATAAAGTTTATTTATAAAAATAGGCTCGGAGTCTATTAAAGCGCTCTATTTGGGCCTTAAACCAGTCGATACCGCGTCGGTTATCTAAAGTATAGACTAATACCGCTGCTCTATTGTATTTGGATATTATATCACTTAAAGCATGAAACGCGGTCTCTTTATATAAACGACGGAACTCGGCGGCAAAAAGTGGATCGGAGCTTAATAACCGTAAATAACTTAGATCGGTGTGGTTAGATTTGACTCTTTTAACAATAGCTTGGTCTACTGCTAGGTTAAACTAGCCTTTGCTAAGTGGAATAGCAATAAAAACCTTGCTATTCTCCCCTAGCGGAATATCCGTGGTGAAATAAGTGAGGGCACTATATACGTCGGATTATTAGTTAGAAAGATTGTATTCAAAATTAGAGTAGATACGTATAGTCTATATAGTTGGCTTTAGTAATATTCTGGTAGGCAAGGAGGATATACACTGACTTGGAGTGGTTCTATTTAAAAGAACTTCTGAGCTAGTCTCTGCTAGCGTGGTTGCAATCCTTGGTGTTCGGCAGAACCCTAGCTTTTCTGAGGTGTTAAGTAGCTTCTTAAAGGGGAGAAACTTGTCTATAAGCAATAAACGGACACCGCCAATAACGCATAAAAATATCCAAAGGTTATATTGTCCTAAAATAGTATAGCTCAGAATATATACCCTACAAAGATATTATTCCGTCCCTAGACCTTAACTAGCGTGCGAAATAGAATATGGTAGTTTAGCTGCAAATTTGGGTACTAAAAACGTGCCCTATATCTAGAAGTAGTATAGCTTAGAATATATACCCTCTCTCTATTATATCCCTATTTAATCTGTGTTGTTCACCGAGTATTCTGTGTATTATAACGCCGTGTTCCTTATCGCTACGTAGGTCTAAATTCTTCCAGCGCCTTCCTTATACCATCACTCTTTCCGAGTTTTTTATATCTATACCACCCGTTCTCAATTATAATACGTAGCTTTGCTTCGCTTAAAGCTAAAGCTCCCTAATACTCGATAGACAAAAATTTGGTAATATTTCCCTTTGGTGGTATAGGATCACTTACTTTTCTATGCGGCGAAGCGCTAAGACCTCTCCGCTAAGGCGTATTAGATCTTCTCCTTGAATAGATACTCTACCACGATGAAGTCTTATATCTGGTGGGCTGCTTGGCTGTCCTTGTATATTCGGAGGGTTCCCTAAGGGAAGGGAATCCGGTAGTTCTATTGGGTAATTTTCAGTGTCGGCCTAAGTAGTTAGTCAATTTA